ATAAAACACGATGTTGTTGTAACGCCTATGAAGAGGATCAAAACAGCAGCACACTTCAGATAACGGTCCAGCCCTCAACAGCTCTACGTCAATTATGGGGTTTCATCATATGCCGTTTCCATGGAAACGCATCCCTNTAACTTCAGTGAAAATGCTCCAAACAGCCCAAAACTTCCCAGGTTTGGTAACGATTTGAGTTGCAAAGGGGCGGAACATTTCTGGTAAATTTCCGGAAAGTTTCCATGGGAAGTTAAGCTGGGGAATTTTATAAATATTCTATGCAAAATTAAACAAAAAACATGAAATTTCAACAGATTTCTTTTGATTTTTTTAGTAGAACAGAAAAAGTTTTAATTATTTTTTTGAACAATTATTTGTTTAATTGAAGAACGAAAACAGGAATGTTGAGTTAAATATTACTCATCCCCCCCCAACCCCACTCAAAAATGAACAAAAATGCACCCCCCATCCAAAAAGTCCCATTCAAAATGTTGAATGAAAAGAGCCCTTCTCCGTCCAAAAAGTCCCATTAAACATGCAAATCTTCCTTCAAGCAATCCTTTGCATGTTTAAACCCTTTCAGTCAATGGGCTATTCCTGGGCCTTATCAACATCCAACTCTGAGTCTTCCTCTTCAGTATCACTGTCCAGCTTTGTTGAGGATGGCTCTGTGTCCGGCTCAAAGAGCCTTAGGTTTGCCCGAATGTCAACCCGTTTTTCCACTCTTACATTGTGTGCCTGTTGCGAACCTTTGTGTGGTCTCAATAGCCATGCAGTAAGCAGTGTGCTATGGCATGGATATTCAAGTACTTGAATGGCATCTGTTTGTTTTAGTCAAGATTATGCTGAAATATACTTTCCCCAACTATATTTAAGTTCCCTATGAAGAGCCAACCTTCAATTTAGAAAATGTTTATTCCCGTTAATTCCCATGGAAAGTTTCCCCGAATGGAAAAATTCCCCGAATTTTGCAACCCTATTAACGATGCACCCATCAACATATCTAAGCGTATTATGGGGTGTCATCAAATACCATTGCCATGGCGACAGATAATTTGCCATCAAGTTAGTTCAATAGTTTGCAGTTCAAATATTCTGCTGCTTTTCCAAGCCTTTTTACTTTCTTTTGTTCTCTCATCACACATTCAAGCCCCCAGTGTTCATGTATCATTTCAATCTAAATTCTTCACTTTCTTCTTACACATTACATTTCAGCATAGCAATTCAGCGTCAGCTTTTCAGCATAAAGCATTCCCACTAGCAATTTCTTCAGGAATTGCATTCTCTAGTTTTTACTAATGGCCTCAAAAAACAGTTATGCAGTTTAAAAGAATGTTTTCTATTTATGATTTCATTTCTCTGATCAGATCATGTAGAAATGTTTAAATGTCTGTTTCAAAGCTACATGTGATCGGAACATTGTGTTATGTAAGCTGATCTAAAAGCTTATGTGTTTTGGCGAAGACATGAATGATTAGTGTCCAGTCTGCTCGTCACTGTCACTGTGGGAGCTGGCAAAACACACAGCATTGAATTATTCTGAGCAAAAGACAAATATGTGAAACATACACAACAAATTGTAACAAAGGAACAGCTGCTCTGAGATTTCTAAGCATGTTATTATGAACCATTATTGAGTCTTTGAACAGATCTTAACATATGAGTTGAACTCCTGGTGATTGATTTCAATGTAAATTAAAGTTATGTCTGGTCCTTGCTGTTTCAGAAATATGGTTTGCTACAGGTGTTTCTCTCTCACACAGGCTAAGATCTACTTTTCCTTCCCCGGAGAACTCCTGATGAGGATGTTAAAGATGTTGATTCTGCCGCTCATCACCTCCAGGTAAGAAAAGTCTTCCCCTGTGTGTAGGTCCTCACTCAGGTCAAATATGACTGCAAACGGCTGCAGTGCATTAAAGGTGGTACGTTAAACTTGTCTAACTAATTGTGAAATTGCATTTTAACGGCTAAACACTCTTTTTATTATTGCATCTGTAGAATAAAGATAAACCACTTTCCATAAGTAATATTTTGAAATGTTCTAAAAAGAAACGCTCGGTTATATCTACACTTTATTGTATGTATTGTTTTGTTTAATAATAATTGGAATTGTGATGTTTGTACCTGTAGTTCTGTTCTTTAAGAAAAAAAAGAGATGTATACAAGTATAACTGGAAAAGATCTCTGTTCAATTCAAATAAATAACATTTGTTTTAAGAAATCCACAATCTCAAAATGTCTACATCTAAGCTGAACCTAAAAAGCGAAACCATGTTAAACAAAAACAATGAGTATCATTAAAGCATAATACTGCAAAATAAGAAAATATGCACTATTAGCATAGCACAGTCTTTCAGTCCCGCCTCAAAGTCCATCTCTTCAACTCTGTCTACCCATAAGCCCCCCTCCCCCCGTCTCAATCAACTTCCTCTTGACTGCCTTTTCTGTTTATTTTATTGTGTTGCCTGTCCTTGTTGGTCTACCCTCCCTCATACTGTAACGCGTCTTTGAGTTGTAGAAAAGCGGTATATAAATATAATTTATTATTATGAATAACAACCATTACAAGTCAGTAAATGAGCAGGAAACAACACAGTTGGCCCCTTTTCTCCGACTAAATAAGGGTTCACCAGGTGAAATCAGTTTATTGGAGGGTTTGCTGTATTCACCTCGCTATATTTACGTTTCTTCGGGACTGTGCACTAACGTCACGTGGCTATGAACTGGCCCCCGTGTTGCTTTTTTATCGAGGTTGGCCCAAGAAACGTCCGAATATAACCTAAAAAGACACAGCTAGAAAGCAGGTTCACTGCAGACTCTGCCACTCACTTCCAGTCGGTGATAAGTGATGATAGCGAGGGATTATTTATTATAGCTTTTTAGAGAAATGCTACTCATCGTACCTTAAGAAAATATGCAAAATATGAAGTTTCAAGACATTTTTACCAGCTGACGAATGTGTTTTGGTTGACCTCGCGCATCAACAAGAACCACACTTACATACCGTGACCACCTTGAGAGATACAAATCAAACCTTTGTGACCCTCCAACCAGCAAATGTTGAATACTTTCAGTCATCAAATGTATTGATCATGTAATTTTCTATTGCAACGATAGACAGATAGATACAAACACACTCATCCATTCACTGTTTTTGAAATGCTGAAGACAAACCAAATTCATACAACTCTATACATTCATAGTTTTAAATTGAGTTAAAGGTCACCTATTATGCAAAATCCTCTTCTACATCAACATGTGTCCCCTCTTCTTCATGTCTCTTCTACATCAACATGTGTCCCCTCTTCTTCATGTCTCTTCTACATCAACATGTGTCCCCTCTGCGGAAAGAGATTCTGAAAGTTTCAGAAAAAAAGATTCTCTCTCTTTTTGTCCTGATCCATTTCTATAAAAACCTGTCTGAAAATGAGCCGATAAGATTTTGAGATTTTCAGATTCACCAGGAGAGTTTTCTTGACTTATATAATTAATTCTGGGGGTTGGAGCTTAGACTTTCCGACTTTCAATTTTAAGAACCACCCTAATTGTATATATCTGAGACCTATAATATATTGATGAAAAACAGTACAATAGGGGACCTTTAAGAGAAATAAGCGCTTCACAGTTTTATGTTGCTAAGAGACATTCTGTTTTACTACCCAGTCTTATGTCCGGCCTGTCAGCCATGGACACCAAGGCCAGCGGTCGGCTGGGTTTCCTGACCATCACCTACTACCTGTGGACGACCTTCATCGCCGTCATCGTCGGCATCGTGCTAGTCCTCGTCATTCACCCGGGCACGGGCACAGAGAAAGATGGCCACCATTCACATTCAGGGCCTGTTATGACCTCTGCTGATGCTCTGCTGGACCTCATCAGGTAAAGATTTAAAGACATAATCTCTCTTTTTGACCAAGTGAACATTGTGCTGGAAATGCTGTCATTCGAAAACATTGACCTTACTTACTTATGTGCCTTTAATCCACGATTCCCTACCCGCTCTACATGCTGCTCTGTACCTGACCTCTGACATGATTTAATATGGCTCTTCTATTAGGAACAACATTTTACAGGCATGTGAGGAAATCTGTGAGGCTGTATTTAGACACATCAAATGTTATGAGCTGAATGCTAACGCCAGCATGCTAACGTCAGCATGCTAACACCAGCATGCTAACGTGCTCACGTTAACAAGGTAACAGTGGAAAATAAACATGAATCTCTACATAAACTTTGATGCAAAAATAATTAAAAGTCATCCTGTTAGCACTATGAATATGTGCACAATACTTATGGCAATCCATCAAATAGGTGTTGAGGTATCTCAGTCTGGTCCACATTAGAGACCCTAAAGACTAACTTGAACTAGCTAGCGTGGCTAAAAACGTAAGAACGTTTCTTCGAATATGTTCTTTCCTCGTTAGCATTTCATGAGAGCAGATTGTAGGACTGTGCAGCAATCTGTCAAAAACATTTCCTCCCATTTGTTGCGTGTTCCTAAGCTGATTTCCGAAACATAGAGAACAGAGTGACATACTTGGGGTCTCTGCTATTTTTGGAGAAGATGTGAAGGCTGGAAACCTATTGCCCACCTTCACTTCATCTATTAGATTAGACGGACATAATCCCCCTCTTGGCAAGGGGCTTTACAGGAAAATCTAGATTTTCCACTCCATCTTGTTAGTTTTGTCTTCTAGAATGACGATTTGCGAAACCAGTACAGATCAATTAAATCCAATACAGACCCAGTTCTGACCCTTCGCTTCCTCACGAACAGGAAGCTCCCTAATCACAAAATATAAAAGGATCCGTTTCGAATCATGGTAGCTGAAAATAAAGCACTCGCAACAAAACAATGTGAAGCCAGAAATTATGAAATGATCCCGAAATATCTAATCTAATCTCTATAATATCGATAATATCTATCTGGTTTATTGGGACATTACGTTTAAATGAAAACAATTAAAATAGAAGCAAATTAGAAATAAATTATAACAATTGATTACAGCAATCACTATCTGAATCTAGACCTTTTTGTGAAAATGGGGAGACTTCTCGACATTCAATTAATAAAGAAGGAAGAACAATGTCCTTGTAACACAGGTGCAGTGTAACTCTTACGAGGCAGGTCGGCTAAGAATAGGGAGACACTTAATTGTGTTTATCTGTTAATCCAGCATTTTCGCAGAAAGTCCTTGTGCCGTGTTACGCTGTGTAAGACAGAGACTTCATTCTGGCGTGTGTCCTCAGGCTTACTGCATGTCCATTCAAGTCAAAGGTCGACTAATACCTCCTTCTTAAACCTGAGTATTATTAGTGAGCTGTGGCTGGTGTGTATCTGATGCTGTGGGCCAAAGGTCAGGTGTACGTTTCAGTCCTCTTACGTCTTTGACGAGCTTTCTTCCTGGGTTCAGTGTCATTGACGTATGCTGTTATAATACATACTGCTCAGGATGCTGTCCCCATGTACGTAAGTTACAACCAGATGAATGTTATGGATGTTCTTTCAAAAGTTCAGGTGTTTAACATTCTTATGGCCTGTGGGAGGAAACGGTCTCTGAGTCTATAAAAGGTTATTTCAAATGTCCTAGTATATTTGGTAATTATTTTTAATGAAGCCTCCTTGTTTGAATTGCCCTTAAAGCATGTTGATGTAAGTCAAACACTTCCTGTATCCATTTCAAATTCATAATATGGTGATATCTCAATCATAGATATTCAACATCAAGAGGGATGATTCATTATATCTTTTTATTTAATAATAGTTTGTCAAATGAAATGAAGTATACACTAGCCATGCTGTATATTCCAATACAGACATGACGTGATATATTTGTCTGTATATTATCTTTTATAGAAACATGATCCCGTCAAATCTCATTGAAGCCACTTTTCAGCAGGTGAGTGGAGGACAAGATACATTTTGAGTTGTACTTTAACGTCAATGTCACATGTTAACAATCCTCTGTGGTTGTTTCATCCAAACTCCAGTACCGAACGGACCTGGTACCTATTGTGCAGAACTCGGATGTCAAAGAATCTCAGGCCAACTTTGTGTATGTCATGCCCGACTACCACAACCCTCAACTCGGACACCCGGTCTTTCTGGAGATCACGCCTGCGCCAGACCTCAAATACAAAATCGTCCCGAGTACAAGCAAGGGCATGAACGTGCTGGGGATCGTCATCTTCTCCGCCACCATGGGTAAGACAATCACTCAGCTGAGAATACCACAGAAAACATCTCTGCTAGTGACTTATCCGACCGGCCCACATCGTCCGACCGGCCCACTTCAGTACCGGCCCATCGGGATTCGTCCCGAACGTCCCGATGGCCGGTCCGCCCCTGGTTATGAGTCA